CTCCCTCTCTCTCCCTCCCTCCCCCTCCCCCTGGCAATACTAGTGCATTGTTGTTAAATAAATTGTGTTAACCCATTTCCGACGGGTAAAAATGAACAAAAATGGGGAAAATGCTGTGCTCATTTTTTGTACTTTTTGTGAAATGTCTCTACACATAGATGACTCTGCCTTACCTGATTTCATTTGGTGGAAAAATGTATTTTTTCTATTGCTATGAATATTGATGGTTATTTTTGTTATAAACATTATAATTACTATAATGTTATAAACATTAGTAACAGCAAAATCAGATAGTGTAAAATATTTTCGTAAATTAAAAAAACAGGCGAGACAGGCAGTACAAGTATAAGTGTAGCCATCTATATGTAAAAACAATTAAACAAGTAAACTCACAGTGGGCATGTCATGTATATGTGACAAGAAAATATTTGAAGAAATTGACTTTCTCTGTCTTAATTTCCTAAGCAAATGTTAATGCTTATACATGCTAAAGAATAAAATTTTCCATGAAATTTATTAGAAGAAATAATACTGTAATAAAAATAAGTAAATTGTTAAATATTGCCTATATTAACTTTTCCCTTTTCATAGCATTTACACACTGATAACATCAGAAGAACGTAGTAAAATAGCATCATATATGTTTCCTTGTTCTCACTTGTTCAGTCATGAAGCATCAGTGCAACATATATATTCAGGTTAATGGCAAGTAGACATAATCAGGCGCCTTAGTAATTTTGGAAGAAATGAGCTGATCTTCCGCCATTACAACAACAACAACAACAACAACAAAAAACAAAAAAAGTGCAAAAAATTATGATCTACTTTCCTGTAGAAAGATTTATCATCTCAAAATTATATATACTTCTAAAAAAATTAATTACCATGGAATGATATGATATTGTCTACTATCATCTTTTCCTTTTATTTTCTATAACAATTGCACATCGATAACAATTTTGCATATTAAGTCTGTAGCTAAGTGATGAACAAGAAGATGGTGTCCTTTTCAACAAACATTTTTATAAGAATTACATGAAATATATAATATGTAAAGATATATAGAATATGTAATTTTAACCCTTTGCCACCAGGTGGCATGTATGTACATGCCATGGCTTGCCAGAACTATATTCCAGGTGGCATGTACATATATGCCATGGTGTGCCGGTCCCATTTTCCGGGGGCATGTACTGTCTTGCTGCGCATGCTGTGGCGCCGACATGTTCCCCCGGCAGCGGGACCTGGGACACTATGAATACAGCCAGGGAGAGAGGGCTTTCGCATTGGGAAACCACCCAGCAGCAATGAGTTATTGTTCCACAACCAGTTCATGATAAAACAAGAGAACAAATGAATATCATATTTACATGTTTTTATATCAATTTCATTGAAAAATTAAGACGTGGAATATGTGTTTTTTCATATGCTTTCTTATGCATTTCATATATAACAAAATTTGAGTGATAAAATTTGCTTAGACTCCATTTACTTTGTTTATTTAACATCAGGGTTCACATTGTTATATCTGAATGCACTACAGTGTTACTAGATAAAATCTCAACTTGATAATCTAAGGGTGGCCACAGATTTTTTCAGCCAGCTGTACATATTTTCATGATGGAAAGTATGTGCTTACAATTTTAGCCAAAATCAGCCAACTTTGGGAGAACAACATTTAGAATGGGAGAGGAATATAAAACAAATATATTTCCTTTCCCTAATTCCAATTCTATTATATCTATACCTATTCTCAAGTATCCCAGTCTCTTTCTCTCTCTTCTTTCAATGTCTCTCTGAAAGAAGTCTCATTCTCTCTCTTCTTTCTCTCTCCCCGTTCAGTCTCTCTCCTTTCAGTCTGTCTCTCTCTTTTCAGTCTGTCTCTCTCCCTGTTCAGTCTCTCTCCTTTCAGTCTGACTCTCTCTCTTTTCAGTCTGACTCTCTCCCTGTTCAGTCTCTCTCCTTTCAGTCTGTCTCTCTCCTTTCAGTCTGTCTCTCTCCTTTCAGTCTGTCTCTCTCCTTTCAGTCTGTCTCTGTCTGTCTGTCTGTCTGTCTGTCTGTCTGTCTGTCTGTCTGTCTGTCTCCCTCTCTCTCTCCCTCTCTCTCTCCCTCTCTCTCTCCCTCTCTCTCTCCCTCTCTCTCTCTCCCCCTCTCTCTCTCTCTCTCTCCTCTCTCTCTCTCTCTCTCTCTCTCTCTCTCTCTCTCTCTCTCTCTCTCTCTCTCTCTCTCTCTCTCTCTCTCTCTCTCCCTCCCTCTCCCTCCCTCTCCCTCTCTCTCTCTCTCTCTCTCTCTCTCTCTCTCTCTCTCTCTCTCTCTCTCTCTCTCTCTCTCTCTCTCTCTCTCAAGAAAAAGATTAACTACCTTACTCCTTGTGTTTAACTTTCCAGCATGAGGATGCAGTCGCTCTCTTCTCAAGAATCAGGTTCATGAGACTGTTCTACGCAGCTCTAGCAGCTCTCATGCGAAGAGAACAAGCCTCTATACCAGAATCAGAGCGATACCTAGCATCATGCACGGAGCTGGTTTGCATAATGCAGAACACAATTGGACGCGGCCTGAAACCCAAACATCATAAAGACGAGGAGGGGAATAAGGGTAAGGCCCGAGGTACCTATGTGTGAGTTTTTTTGGGGAATTTGTTATAGTCTATTCTTTGTCCTTCTACATTATTCTGAGAGATGCAAGATAGATTGTTGGGGGTTTTAAGGTGAATGTGTCTTTGATTGTATATTTGGTTAAAAAGTTTTTTTTTTATAATTAATTAATTTAGGTGTCAAAATAGGTGAAAGTTTTGTTAATAACATTCTGTTTCAGTAGCTAAACATCATGAGTAGACAGAAAGGAATTGAGAGGGAAGGATACTCTGAATAATATTTTTCAATGTGGGTAAATGAGAAAGAGTGTGTTAAGTAACTCACAAAAGCATACAGTCATAAGAGTAAATTTAACTCCTGTAATAGGTGACCTGGTCTTCTACAAGTTCCTTGGATAATATGATAAATAATAATACATACTTTAAAAGCACAGAAAAATGGATGGGCTTGTGATTGTACAGGGAAGCAAGGCTAGGTTTATGGCACAAGTGAGGTGTGAGGTAAGGGCAGAGTCATCCACTCAACTCAGATATTTTGCATATTCTCCCCATTGATGCTGCACCACCTCCAGTGAGAGCTCCATTCATGCACTTGTTTACTTGTAAATATTGCCCGTCCTCCTCACCTACAATACTCTTTGTCTCAGAGCACATTTGCCACACTGTAATGAAGGATACATGACAAAATGTCTCTTGATACTAGATGCTGCCCCTGTAAGCCACTATATGTCACCAGCAGTGGAGGTTTTGAGGTGCAGAAACATTATGTCAAGGCAAGATTCCAGAAGGAAAAAGCTCTGCTGGTATTGGATTAAGAATCAATTTTTTTTTTTTTTTTGATTAAGAATCAAAGAAATATTTTTTAATTTTCCATCTTTTTCAACCTTCAGTGGATTATCCAGTCATCATGGGTTTTGAGCCTCTTGTCAATCAGCGCCTTCTACCTCCTACTTTCCCACGCTACACGAGATTACGAACACGCAAGGAAGCAATGCATTACCTTGAGGAGATGGTGGGACGCCTTCGCCATATCACCAAGATCACTCACTGCACAGGTTTTCATTCTGCTCTGGTAGGCTTCATTTCTCAACAGTATTTAGGTTTAGAAATGTATGTTTGATTTTTTCTTCTTATTAAGCATCTTCAGTATGTTCTTATACTGATGATGCTTAAACTTGACAAGATATTCCTATAGTTTGGAAAATCAAAATGGACTGGCACTTATAACCACAATCACAATATGGCTTCCCTTGTTTTAAAGGAATTCATTGAGAACTTCTCCGAGACACGACCTTGTGTTTTGTCGAGATCATTGGCTCAGGTCCTCTACCTCGGGGGTGGGGACAAGCTGTGGGGAGGACAGACCATGGCAGAAGCTCTGAGGGAAGCTGCTCGAGGGTTCATATGCCCACCTGCATTACTACCAAAGGCGCCTGTAATGAACAATGTACAGGTGTGTCTCGCTCATCAGTGGATTCATTTCCAATGATGAATTTAGATTTGTCTGTTGTACATATAAAAATATAAATTTATGTTTCAGATGGTTTTTATAGATTTCTTGATTTTTATTAGATAATTTGTGTATTAATTAGAGGCTTAGTTATTTTTTCTTTCAGACCACAGTTCTTTCTTTCTGGTTTATGACATAATTTGAATAAATTGAATTTATTGACATATTTATATTTTCATCATTTTTTCAGGCAAAAGAATATGTCAGCTCTTTTTTCAACCGTTGTGTAAGACCCTTTGAGCAACTTATCCAGACATGTGGGCACAACCGTGCACGTCAGAGAGACAAAGTTGCACACTTACTGGAGGAATTTGCAATGCTACAAGATGAGGTGAGTTTAAGAATTTTACTGCAGTCACAGGAAATCTTTGGTTCTAAAGATAAGTGTCTTGATGTCATATGTTTTATATATAAGATGTAAATTTACTATAATGCAGCCACAGATGTAAAGACTAGGTCACATCCACATCTGACTCAACTTTATTTCAATTTCAGGCAGACAAAGTGGATGCATATCTTCACAATGTTCTCTTGAAGAGTGACCAGCCACGCCCTCACTTGGCGTACCTTGGCACCTGGGTCCTCTACCACACTTTACGACTCATGATAAAGTACCTGCTGACGGGATTCACACTAGAGCTGTATGCTGTGCATGAATATCATTATGTCTACTGGTAAGTAAGCACACAGAGGGGAATCTTGCAGTGGTGGAATTGAACTGAAGTTTAAGCCCTTATTTTCTGCTTGATTGAAGAAAGCACTAGTAGTCTGAGGAATATTATGAAATTTTCATGAATTTGATGTTGATTCTTTTGTGTGTTGCTGTCTACTTGCAGTGTTTTGTTTTATATTGTATAGTAGCAGGAAAGGCATGGGAGGGCAGTTCCAGTGATATTGAAAGGAAAAAGTATTTACACAATTACACATAAGTTGTAAAAATGTGAAGGGGTGAAAGTCTGTCCCATTAACCCATAGCTTCTCGATGACATGAGGTTCACATCATGGTTGACTTGGTTGTGGTTCCTGGTGGCAGGTCATTCATGTCATATTACTATGATGTATTCATTACATTTTGTACTGTTCTTTATACAGTACCCTCTTTCCCACATGTCACATACCCTGGGGCATTGCCTGAGGGAGAAGAGGTATGTAATGGTCTAATTGGCTGTTGTTTTGTATGAAAGCGATAATATTTAGCTGGAAGATGTCATGCTCCAGAATGCTGTGCTCTCTTACTAGTACTGTGAACCTGTAGGAAACCTTCACTTTAATTTACATGATCAGTCTCCTCATGTCAGTTATTGTTTGGTGCTCTGCTAGTGTGACTATTTTGAATTTTGACACATAAAGGAAGTACTGAAGCCACAGGAGTAGCAGTCTTGTATACAACTGCTTACAATCTCTTGTTTTGTAAGAATAAGATCTGTGAAATCAAGATCTAAAAGGAATAACATCCATCTCTGAATATACAAAAATATTTAACCCAATGGTGATGGGTGAAGAAAACGAAAAAAAAACTCTATACTCTGCCAAACAATGGCGGCGCGCTGGCTTTGAGCACGTGAGTTCAGTACATCAGCCCAAATCACTGGCTCGCCGTGCTTTGGTGCGCTGCCGCGGCGTACAGCCGCACACCAGCTTTTGAGCGGTTTGTTTTCATGCCTATCGGCGTCACCCGTCGTGAAGGGGTTAATTTCATGTTTTGGATACAAGTGATACAAAAGGAAATCTTATCACTCTGTTGGTACAGCACAGCAAGTGTAATGCACTGACTGTGTCCGATATAGACCATGCAGGTAAGCACAGGGTTTTTAATTGTCCTTTAACCCAATGATGACGGGTATGACATGTACATATGCCCACTGTGAGTTACTTGTTTGATTGATTTATCACATAGATGGCAACACTTGTACTAGGTCACCAATGAGCCAGTTACGAGTACTGCCTGTCTCGCCCGTTTACCCTCTTCTTTGATTTACGAAATTTTTTATGTTATATTATTTCCTGTTACTAATGTTAAAAAACATTATAATAATTATAATGTTTATAATAAAAATAACACCATCGATATTCATAGCACTACTGAAAAATACGTTTCTCCCGCCATTTCAAATCAGGCACTAGCAGAGCCATCTATGGGCAGACATTTCACAAAAATGTAGAAAATAGGCACAGCATTTTCCCCATTTTTTGTTAATTTTCCCTGGCGGCATTGGGTTAATTTCTTGAAGTTGACGGTATTAGTGATAATCATCATGTCTTCATCAGGTGGTGGAAAAGAATCAGTATTCCTAAAAAATGTGAATAATGCCTACTGTGTTTTCACAATCAACCAGCAAACTAATTTAGCATCTTCAATACCTGTCCACTCAGGTACCTGTATGAGTTTGTGTACGTGTGGCTCGTGAGTGCCCTCTCCCGTGCAGACGCCATGCTGCTGGAGCAAGATGGCTACGAGACCAATAAAGGAAAGAGTGGACGTTCTTCGAAGAACAAGAACAGGAATAAGAAGAAGCACCGACCTTATGGCAAGGAAATCACCTACTACCAGGCACTCCAGCATCTCTGTGGGGGATACTACAAGGTAAGTGATGAGAGGCGGAGGGAATGCAAGGAGGAGAGGAAATTTAGTAGTTGTGTCAAAAAAAACTTTCTCAAACTTGACTGGGAAGAGCATCTTTGGGTTGCTGTTTTGCTTTTGTTACAGTAAAAGTCAGTGATAGCAGTTCTCGTAGTAATTGATGGAATTTAACTTTTGAGTTGCTAGGTGGAAAGTGGCAAGTAAAGATATATGATGAATGAAAATGTTGAAATGGAGTTAGAAGGAAGAATATTATATATGTGAAAATAACAGTCTTTGTATTTCTGAGTGCTAGTGAGTGTCATATCATTAGCAGCATTGCTGTCTATCTCTATCTTTATCATTATTGTTATTTTGTTATTAATATTAATTTTGATTACATTATCCTATACACTTACCATCTCCTTGTCATCCCCCCAGGCCATGGTGGGCCTACGAGAAGCAGGGAAAGTCAAGTTACCCATACAGGAATTTGACAACGAACAAGTCCGCTATGAGCACCGGTTCCTGCCCTTCAGTGTTGTCATGACACCTCCCCCAGTGCATTATGACCAGTTCCTTTCCATGACCGACCTGTCCAATTTCCCACAGGTAGGTCATGCATTTGGTCATGATTGTTTTTATGAGGCCTTGGGTTCTTTTTTTTTTTTTTTTTTTTTTTTTTTTTGCATCATTGCTTATTTTGACAGTAAAAGGGAATTTATGATATTTGTGAAAAGGGATTCACTTTCATTTTTTACTATTTTACTTTTGTCAAATTGGTATTCCGAAACAGATTTCACAGAAGGTGTATTGTTGTAGTTCCTTTTTTTTCCT